CTCTTGACATTTTTGCTTTGCAGCCTACAAATGTCAAACTTCAAATGGCTTCTGGTTCCATCTATCCATTTTGCTTGATTTTTTTTTTAATTGAAAAATGTTTGCAATATTATGGCCTTCATTGTGTTGCCAGGCAGCCACATCTGTGGAGTTCTCTCCCCACACACTTGGTGAAATCTCAACCCAACAGGAAAGGGCTCTTGACTCTGATGAAGAAAAAATTTGTGATCAGGTTGAACAAGTGCCAGAAGAAAAGAATTCATCAAAACGAGAATAGTTGCAAATGTCAGCAGACTTGCAGGTAGTAGAGAGCAAGGAAGAACTGAGGGAGATGAGGAAAGGTCATTGAATTCCCTTTTGGCATAGGGCAAATCCCTTGCCAACTTCTAAAGCCAGGGTCACCTGGCATCCCAGTGTCTGCTTGAATCTGCATGATGTGGGAACTATACCCCTACCACCCCAGAATTTGGGGGAGGCTCAGAGCACTTGATGGAGTGAGTTTATGTTCTGAGAACCTCCCAAAGCAAAGGAAAGGAGACTTCTTAGGCAGACTGCTAAAGAACATGATTGAATGGCCACAGGTGACTGGAACAGGCAAGCCCCTTCCTCCTCAGACGGTCCTGCAGCTGCTTCCCTACTGATCTGAAATAAAACAGGGAGAGAGAAAAGGATTGTGTTTAAGACTAGAAAGCTGGATGAAATAGCAAAGTGGCAGTTCCCAGGCAGATCACTGACTGAACGGTATTTTGTGAGCAGTGAGCTTGCCTTGGAGTGGAAGGTGACAATGAAGGGAAGGTTGTTGAGGCCCTACAAGCATTAGGAAGTTTTTTTTGGACCAGCTGGTGGTTTCTATAAAGTGTGCTGAAACCTACATAGCCTATACGAATGTGCCTTACCTCCAAACAACAGGGACTCCTGGGAATGACAGACTTAGTGCCCATCATTCTTTTGTAGGGAATTAAGCTATATTTTTGCTCAACTCCTAAAGTTAGCGGTCTGAAGAACAAAGCCTATATAATGGAAAATCCAACTCTTCAGGGATATCAAAAGAGAATTTTCAACTCATTTCTTACACAACCCTATTAGAATTACAATACGATCATTTCAGCCTCTCTAAAGTTTTTTTAAACCTTCAGAAAAAAAAAGTTACAAAGATACCACCAGTGGAAGATTTTGAGCCCATTTAAGGTCTGGGTCTTTGTCTTGATTGCAAGAAAAAAATTCAGACAAAACTTAGCAGGCTTAAGCAGTGAAAAGTTAATTTAAAGGTACAGTACACATGCAGATGAAGATTAGGAGACCTCAGAAAGGAGGCGAGTTTATGGGTGTTTTGGGGATTTATAGGGCCTTTTGGGTAGGTATCTTTATAAGGTGTGATGTATGTAGGTGATTAATAACTCCTTTGAAGCTTGTCACAAGAATAGAGTTATTCGGATCTCAGCAGTCTTTCCCTGTAAGTTCATTCACACTCCAGAAGTCTGTCTTTTGTCTTGGTTACAGTATTACTTAAGGTGACTGGAAGAAGAGGACAGCATCTAGATTAAGTTAAAGAATAAGCTGGGCCTTTATTGCAGGTTAAGTAGATTTTACAATGTCATGACCCTTGTCATATTTCCCTGCTCTATTTGAATTACAGCCCTATATTACCCTTTAGGGCTTAGGTTCTCTTCGGTACACACCTAGTTTCTTATATTTAATTTTTCTTTTGTATTAATAGGCCATTTTTTAGAGCAATTTTGCATTCATAGCAAAGTGGAGAGGGAGGAACAGAGATTTATATATACCCCACACCATCACACATGCATAGCTTCCCCCATTATGAACATTCCCTACCAATATGGTACATACCTTAAATTGATGAGCCTACATTGATGCACCATTGTCACCTAAAGTTCTTAGTTTACATTAGGGTTCACTCTTAGTGTTATACATTCTGTGGGTTTGGAACAATGTATAATGACTTGTACCTACCATTACAGTTTCGTACAGAGTTCTTTTATAGTCCTAAAAATCCCCTTTGCTCTACTTACTCATCTCCTACCCCCTAAAACCCATGACGTTTTTACTGTCTCCATAGTTTTACCTTTTCTAGAATGTCATAGAGTTGTAATCATCTATTTATCCATTAGCCTATTGAAGGACATCTTAGTTCTGTCCAAGTTTTGGCAAATACAAATGGAGCTGCTATAAACATCCATGTGCAGGTTTTCATGTGGACAAAATTTTCAACTCCTTTGGGTAAATACCAAGGAACATAATTTCTAGAATATGTTTAGTTTTCTAAGAAATTGCCAAACTGTCTTACAAAGAGACTTTACCGTTTACATTCCCACCAGCAATGAATCAGAGTTCCTTTTGCTCCACTTCCTCACCAGCATTTGATGATGTTCTGGATTTTGGCTATTATAATAGCTATGTAGTGGTAACTCATTATTTTTGTTGTTTTGCTTTGTTTTTATTAAGGTATTGATATACATACACTCAGGTTTCACATGAGCAACATTGTGGTTACCACATTCACCCATATTATCAAGTCCACCCCACACACCCCATTGCAGTCACTATCTATCAGTGTAGTAAGATGCTATAGAGTCACTACTTGTCTTCTCTGTGCTATATACTGCCTTCCCCGTGCCCCCCCATATTATGTATGCTAATCATAATACTCTTTAATCCCCTTACCCCTCCCTTCCCACCCACCATCCCCAACCCCTTTCCCTTTGGTAACTGCTAGTCCATTTTTGTGTTCTGTGAGTCTGCTGCTGTTTTGTTCCTTCAGTTTTGCTTTGTTGTTATACTCCAGTAACGCATTATTTTAATTTACATTTCTCTGATGGCTTATGAGGTAGAGCATCTTTTCATACATTTATTTGCTATCTGTATATCTTCTTTAATGAGGTGTCTGTTAAGGTTTTGGGCCAATGTCTCAGTCTGTTCAGGCTGCTGTAACAAAATAGCACAGATAGGGTGGCTTAGAAACAAGAATTTTTTACAGTTTGGAAGCTGGAAGTCTGAGGTCAGGTGCCAGTATGGTCAGGTGAGGACCCTCTTATGGGTTGCAGTCTTCTAGTTGTATCCTCAGATGATAAGTGGGAAGAAGTCTCTCTGGGGTCTCTAATAAAGGCACAAATTCCATTCGTGAGGGCATTACCCTTATGATGTAGTCACCTCCCAGAAGGCCCCACCTCCTAATACTATCACCCTGGATATTTGGATTTAACATATGAATTTTGGGGGATGGATTTAACATATAAATTTTGGGAGAATTCAGACCTTTGATCTTGTCAGTGCTCTGGATTTTGACTAATAGGTTGTTTTAATTTGCATTCCTTGATGACATATACTATAGAGCATCTTTTCATATGTTTATTTTCATCTCTGAATGTGTCTTTGGTGAGGTGTCTGTTAAGGTCTTTAGCCCATTTTTTAATTGCCTTGGCCCACTATAAAACTTGTTTGTTGTCTTACTGTTGAAATTTAGAAGTTCTTTGATATTTTGGATAACAGTCCTTTATTAGGTATGTCTTTTGCAAATGTTTTCTCCTAGTTTGTGACTTGTCTTTTTATTCTCTTGACAGCATCTTTCACAGAGCAGAAAGTTTTAATTTAATGAAGTCTGGTGGCATATCAATTCTTTCTTTCATGGATCATGCCTTTGGTGACATCTAAAAGTCATCTAGGTTTTTCCTTATGTTACCTTCTAGGATGTTGTAGTTTTGCATTTGACATTTAGGTTTGTGATCCATTTTGAGCTAATTTTTGTGAAGTGTACAAGGTCTTTGTCTAAATTCTTTTTTTTGCACGTGAATATCTAGTTGTTCCAACACCATTTATTGAAAACAGTCTTTTCTCTATTGTACTTCCTTTGCTCCTTTTGTCAAAAATCAGTTGACTGTATTTTGTGTCTGTGCTTTCTACTCTGTTCCAGTGACCTGTTTGTCCTTTTGCCACTACCTCACTGTCCTGATTACTGTAGCTTTATAGTAAGTCTTGAAGTCAGATAGTATCAGTCCTCCAACTTTGATCTTCTCCTTCAATATTATGTTAGCTATTCTGGATCTTTGTGTCTCCATAAAAACTTTAGAATCTATTAGTATCTACAAAATAATTCAGTGGGATTTTGATTGGACTTGCATGGATCAAGTTGAGAAGAACTGACATCTTGACAATATTGAGTCTTCCTGTTAGTGAACAGAATATCACCCCATTTATTTAGTTCTTTGTATATTTACTTTTAATTTAATCTGTTTTGTAGTGTTTAGAAGGCACAGTTTCTGAGCCACTTCAGAAGTACTTTATAGAATTTTCCTGTCCTCTTGGATTCATTTGCTGTTATATTTGTTCCTCTTCATATATGGCTTTCTAAGAGCTTTTTCTCTTCCCATTATAATATCTGTGATGCTCAGCCAAGTGTGATTTCTAGTATTGCAGAGAAGAATTGTGTCTAGAGTTAAATCAGCTGATCTATGTAGTTCACATCTATAGTACAATAGAACTTATTTCTCAGAAATTAGAGCAAAAGTCTTACCATTTAAAGAGATACAAGAGAATTGTATAGTACAAGATCTCTGCCCTTAAAGAGCTTGTAGTCTAGTTAAGAAACCAGACTGAACATATGGAAAGTAAAACATTTAGATAATAATTCTAGTTTTAGGTCATAGAGGAGTACATGATTAACATACATTAATTGTACAGATATTTATAATTTTGGAATTTAGAGAAGGGAATGATTTACTTTAGTCAAGTTATTTAGGGGAAACTGTTGATTTCATGAAATTTGAACTTAGTCCTGAAATATGAATAAATTTTAGATAAGAGAAAGATTCATCTAGGTATCCTATGGATTAGTTTCACAATACTTTGTCCCAGTGTTTTTCTTAAAATCTTTATATGAATTATTTCCTTTTAATTATGTTTTCTATCCAATTTAGTTTTAATAAACATGACAGTATTTGCTATGTCATTTGCCTTCAGTTTTCAGTGTCTGTGTTTTGTCACAGGTATCCTGATTTTCAGCTGCTGCAGGAAGGACAAAGGTATGGTTGAATCAGTATCACTTACCTTCTATATATTCATGTTAACAGAAACTTTAGGAGTAAACCAGGTGATAGGAGCTCTTGGACTTCCTGTTCTGATACATTATGTAATTACCCTTTCTAGCTTCCACAAAGAAATATTTGCCTTGTACAGCTTTTTCTTTTGTGATGATAAGCTGATGTGTTTCATTTATATGATTTATTGTACAGCTGTCCTACCAAGGAAGTCTAATTGAACCTGTTGAAATACGACACAAACACAGCTTCCATCTGAGATACTGTGCTTCTTTGTCAAGTAGATTGTGCCAATTACATTTGTTGAAAGGTTTTTATAGTCTTATTTGATAGGATTTCAAAACATTAATGTATCTGTTACTTAATTATTTAGTAGAGTGTAGTGTTGCTTGCCCAAACTTGACCATCTCTCAAAATGCATTTTTTTATCTCCCAGAATAATTTTCCTGGTTATTAGTCATTACTCTTATTACATGGAATTGAGCACAAGTGAAGGGGTATTTATTTGTTGATGTATATCTCTAATATCTGGCTTCAAAAGTACTATAGAAAAATATAATTACTTTAAAATCCCAAGGGAAAGAATGAGATATCTGGAAGCTCAGTTGGTCTAGTTTTTTGAAATTACACTTACTTTGGATATAAGAAACAGTCCCATGGCTATTAGGCTAGTTTCTAACTTAAAAATAACTGATACTTAATAAACTTGTCATCTTTTCTGTTTCCATCCACAACCTTGCTTGAGAGTAACTAACTGCTCACCCGTCTTTATCTCATTTGTATGGACAAAGCTACTCTTTACCTTCACCCTTTCATAATTCTTAATCCTTTTTTAACCTAATCTGAAAATTGAAGGAACATAGTCAAAGGGAAAGCTATTGTCTTATTGTTAGCATTCTATTGTAAATCTGGATTTTCAAATGCAAATATCTTTCATTGATAAATGTTGATTTGCCAACTTTTTTTTCTGCTACGACTTTGTGTTTTTCTTTCTATCTGTGGAATTTTCTATATAACTGTCAAGCAAAATTGGAAAGTGTTTAAATGTATTTCTTATTTTTCAAGACCTAAACAGAGTTCCTGTAACATATTTTTTTGAGAAACCAGTAATGAAGCTTTCAAAAGGAAATCTTAAAAAAAGGATGTATAAAACAACCACAGAAATGGAACAGAAAAAGTCAAAATAATTCAATAGGATGGAACTACTAAGTGTTTTTTTTTTCTTTTTGCTATACTCCTTTAATGCTTTTAAAATAATTGCAGAAAAGACAAGGTGGAAGAACTGTATCAAATGAGTAAGATGTAGATAAATTATAGAATTACAGCCTTCTAAAATGTGTGTATATGTAATATATGGGTATACAGATCTATATATAAAGCCTATAAATAAGGCTCTGCCTAGGGAGTAAAAATTTCTACCTTGAAAGTTAACAAAGTGTAAATACTATGCACATTTTGCTTTTTTTGTTATATTTATCTTATTTCTTTCCTCCACAGGGGCCATTCTGGAATAGAAGTACAGTTATGCAATAAAGCCGTTAAAACATCAGATGTTGACAATCCTGGCCATTTTAAGAAGCATTATGAATCTAGTTCTTCTAGCACTCACAGTGATAGTAGCAGTGATAATGAGCAAGACTTTGTTTCCTCCATTCTACCAGGAAACAGACCAAATGCAACAGCTATAAGACCACAGCTGCACAAAAAGTGCATAATGAAAAAGAAAGCTGGTCAAAAATCTAACTCCCAACATGAAGACAAAGAGCGAACAATAATAGATGTCACCGAGCAGTTAGGCAACTGCAGACTAGATAGTCAGGAGAAAGCTGCTGCCTGTGAACTTCCTCTACAGAAAGTACGTACTCAGATTTCTTCAAGTAGGCCTTTGCAAGAAAAACTAGAAGCTTCAGAGAATTCTGAAAATAAATACAATAGTTTAAAAATAACCCTAGTAGGCATAAGTAAGAAAAGTGCTGAACATTTTAAGAGGAAATTTGCCAAATCAAATCAAGTTTCTAGGTCAGCTTCTAGTTCGGTACAGGTGTGTTCTGAAGTTGCAAAGACAAACTTACTTAAAGTCCTGAAGGAGACTTTGACTGAGTGGAAGACAGAAGAAACATTGAAGTTTTTGTATGGCCAGAATTATGCTTCTGTGTGTCTGAAACCCTCTTCAGCCCCTTTGGCTGAAGAAGAACTTGATGAAGATGATACAAACTCTGACCCAGACAGTCATTCCCCTGCTTTGCCAGAATCTCAAAATAGCTTGGATGAGTCTTTACCTTTTAGGACCTCAGATACAGCCATTAAACCACTGCCAAGTTACAAGAACTTGAAAAAAGAAACTGAAACATTAAATCTGAGGATCAGGGAGTTTTACAGAGGGCGATATATTTTGAATGAAGAAACTACCAAATCACAAAATTCAGAAGAGGTATGTCTTAATGCTGATGAGTTTTCCATGATACTAACATATGGAGCACTCACCACAGCAAATCCTGGAGCTGGAAGAAGAATACTGCAGAGATCATTTTTAAATTTTCAGGTTCCTTTAGTCATTCAGTCTTCTGGTTTAAAATGCCATCTCCAGCATTGGCATTACTAATTTCCAATTAAGTTGAAGTTTGCCCCCAGAAAATTTTCATAAATGTTTAAAATTTTTCTCTAATGTAGAAATAGCCTAGAATTGTGGGTCAATGTTTTCTTTTAAAATGTAGTTCTATATAATATGAAGACTCTGAAGAGGCTTGTTTTTTCTTTGTTGGTATGTATATTCTTACATATTTCTACAGGGAGTATATATCTTTGTGTTTTATTTCCAGTGGGGTTGTACACAGTGAAGTAGACTTTATGGTTTAACAGTAAAATGTTTGACTAATATTTGGCAAGTATGCCTATTTAACATAAATGAAAATAATACAGTAAAGGAGACTTACTGGGAAATAGTGGACATACGGGAAATGTAAAGAGCTCATTCAGGTATACCTAGATACCTGTACCTGTGGAATTTTCTGTATAACTATCAATCAGAATTGGAAAATGTTTAAATGTATCTTCTTATCTTTCAAAACCTAAACAGCACATTCAGGTATACCTAAATTTGAGTATCTGCTCTGTCAAAGCTGCATGAAATTTGTCTCTTGAGTGTGAGTACTCATCTGTAAATGAGACTATAAATAGCTCCCCTTTCTCAGTTGTCATAAATTTTAAAGATAAGGTATGAAAAGCACTTATCACAGTGCCTGACATATAATTGGTACTCAGTGAATAAGTTGTATGTAAAGACAATGTATGTTGCTAAGATTTAGGGAGATTCTTTCAATATTTCTACTACCCACCTTTTGGTGATGTGTAGTTTGAGAAGTAAAGTCATTGGCACAAGGAGGAGTAGGTGATAATCTTGTTTTTACCACAAAACTTTGTTACTAAAGATATCTGAGTAAATGAGGATCTAAATTTAAGAACACATTTGGAGATTTACAAAGAGGGTTAAAGTGGAAATACAGCGATAATGTAGAAATTTCTGATACTCCTATAGAATATTACATTGTCCAGCACTATTTTTGAAATCATTTCAACTATATTATTAGATAGCATGTATAACTTTTATATTAAGGTTGGAGAAACATTGATCTCTGTCATTCAGCAGCATAAACCTAATGTAGTATATCACTTCTGTTACCATTTTTGTGATTATAAGCCTTAAGAAGGAAAAACTAATCCCTGAAATTTGACTGTTCTATTGCCTAACATTTTTAAACTTTTTCATTGAGGTGTAACACAAATATAAGTGTATAGCTCATTGAATTATCACAAATGAGCACACTCATGTAATCATTACTCAGGCCAAGAAATTTGAGCAAACCATCAGCTCCACTATGCCTTCTTCTAATCATTACGTCTAAAATTAATGGCTATTATAATAGCATAGATTAGTTTTGCTGATTTTGAACTGAATATGAATGGATTCACATGTACATATTCTTTGGTGTCAAATTTGTTTCATGCAACATTTTGTTTGTGAGCAGTTTATCTTCTCATATAGCTATTGTTCATTTTTTCATTATTGCATAGTATTCTATTATAGAGATTATATTATAATTTATATTAATGTGCATTTAGGCTATTTCTGTTTGGGGCCATGACAGACTTTCTTGTGTGTATCTCTCTTCTAATGCACGTGCATTTCTGTTGGGTATGTATCTGGGACTGAAATTTCTGAGTCATAATGTATGCATTTATGCAGCTATACTAGATAATACCAAACAGTTTTCCAAAATGGTTCTGCCAGTTTATGTTCTACTACCACTGTATGAGAGTTTCCATGACTTCACATTCTCACCAGTACTTGATATTGTTACTTTTCACCATTCTGGTGGTATTACTTTTCAGTTATAATACATTTCTCTGATGATTAATGAGTTGAGCACTAGTGTTATTAATGCCATCTTGAGTCCAGTTTATTGTCTCCTTTAGTGACTTCTTTAAGAAACTTTTGCTTAACCTAGGTTATTTCATCTTCTAGAAGGTTTGTTGCTTTTTCTTCCACATTTAGGTTTGCAGTTCATCTGCAATTGACTTTTGTTTATGGTGAGGAGTATAGATCAGATTTCATTGTTTTCCTTTGGGGAAATCTGTGCACATTAAAGTTTGAGAAACTATTTATATTTTCCACTTAACTTTTATTTATATATAATTGAAATATAGTTGATAAAGTTTTTTTCCCCTTTTGGTTTGCTTATTCTGTCAGTTACTGAGAGAGGTGGCAGAGATGGGTCAAAATCTCTTAACATAATTATGGTTACTTCTTTTAATTTAATGTATTTTATTTTTAATATTTTGAGACCATGTTATTGGATACAAATAAGATTGTTAGGTCTTCCTGGTAAATTGAGCCTCTTAATGTTATGGAGTAACCTTTCTCTACATTTTTTTTCCTTACAGTCTACTGTGCTGACTGTACCAGCATTCTTTTAATTTTTTCAAGGACCGTTTTTTTTTTACTGAGGCTAATAATACTAATTATCTACCTGTTCTGTGTTCCCCTTTTCTCCTTTCTTGCTTTCTTTGGATTAAATATCATTACCCCATTCTTTTTCTTTTACCCACTATTAGCTTGTTTTTATACATTCTTGTATTATTCATTAAGTGGTTACCCTAAAGATTAAAACCCAAATCTTTGTTTTATTAAAGTCTAAGATAATACTTTTATTGCTTCCTGGACAATTAGTATGTTCAAAACTTTTAACTCCAATTATCACTTTTTATATGCTCTTGTGTATTTTTATTCTTTTATATTTTATATTTTAAATCATACAAGATTGCTTATAGTCAATATTCAGTTGGATTTATCCATTTAACTACTCCTTCATTGTTTTCCATTCCTTCCTGCATCTTCATTCTTCCATCTGGGATCAGTTGCCTTGGGCCTAAAGAATAGTCTTTATTCGATTACTGCCAGTTCACTGAGAGTGAATTTTGTTTTTGTTTACCAGAAAAATTGGCATTTAGCAATATCTGAGGTGAAATATGGCAGCTGTTTATCTGCATGTGTCTGTCTACAAGAAAGGAAATGAAAAATACAGCACTTACTTGAAATTTTAACTTTGAACTGCAAAAAGTCTAATTCAGCAAGACAAAAGGATTAATCTTATTTTACTTTCATTTTTGAAAAATATTTTCCTAGGTTTTGAATTCTGGATTAGCAGTTATTTTCTTTCAGCCAATTGAAAATATTTCCCATGTCCTTTGGCTTCCATTTATTTCTCTTATTGCTGCTGCTTTGAAAATGTGTTTTCTTCCTTCAACTACTTTTAAGACTTTTTTTTGGTCTAAAAGCATCAAATTCAGAATGCTTTGCCTAGGTGAGATATATTTGTGTTTATTCTTTAGGCTGTTGTAATACTTGAATCTGTGATTTGATTTCATCAGTTTTTGAATATTGTCAATTATCTCTACAGATACTGTTTTTTTCCCATTCTCCCTTTCCTCTCTATCTGGTACTGCATTTACAGATAACATTAGTTTTTCTATCTTCTGTGTCTCTTATGTTCTTTGTGCTTTGCATTGTGTGCAGGGGGCAAGGGGAGGAGAAGGCTGTTGTGTGTAACTGCTTCATTCTGGATATTTTCCAGATCATTCTCTCTTTAGTCTTTTCTATTGTATCATTAAATCCACCCATCGAGGTCTTCTTGTCAATGCTGTGTTTTTCAGCTCTAAGATTTTCATTTGGCTCTTTATTATTTAGTTTCCAGTTCTCAATTGGCAATTTTCTTTGTATATATTCAACAGTTCTTTTAAATAAAGCTGATAACTTCATTATCTGGATCCCCTGGGGGTTCATTTCTATGGGCTAATGTTTCAGATTTTGATCATATTGTTTTATTTTCTTACTGCTTTCTTATGTGGCAAACATTGTAGATTAAAAATGGCAGAGATGACTTGAGACCCAGGCTGATGTTACCTTCCTCTAGAATGGATTGATGATAAAATTATTTGAAGCTGGGCTTCAGTCCCTGTAATAGCCAGTCTGTTTTCTATTCATTCTTAATCCTGGAGTGTGATCCTTCTAAATCCTGATCTCAAGCATGGGGAGAGTTGTCAGTACTTCTCCTTTCTTGGCATGCCCCAAACTCTAATGTTTATTAGTAAAACCATATTCAGATTCTCAGTATCTAAATTGTCTCTTCTAGGATTAGTCAATGTCCTCTCTGGAACTACCTTCTCCAGAATCTCAGGCCATAATTCTTTACTGTCTTGTTAGATCTCTGATGCTTTCAAACAAATGTGAGTTTTTTCCCCAGCTTTTTCAGTTCTTAACAGGAGGCATGGTTTGAATTATCTTGTGTGCCACTTGTGGAAATGTAACTCCCCAAAATATATTTATAGTATTTGCTTATTTTAACCCTTTGACATCCAACATTTATATAGCATTTAGCAGCTTACAAGGTCCTTTTATATATTTTCCCATTTAACAAAGAAGATACTGGTATCCCTATTACACAGACGAGAAAACTCAAAAAGGGAAAACAACTCAAGCAAGTTCACATCAGCCTACTGACTGAACTGATACTCAAATATAAACCTCCTAATTCTCAAGTCTACTTTTGTTATACCCCATTACAGGTAGAAACTTTTTTATTTGAATATTTATTGTTCGTATCAAAAGGAAGAATGTGAACTTATGGTTTGTTTTGCTTTGTTTAAAAATGTTTTCAGCATGATGCCACCTTCCCACTGATAGATTCCAGTTCTCAGAACCAGATTAGAAAACGCATCATACTTGAAAAGTTGAGTAAAGTGTAAGTACATAATTGTTGTTCCACTTTTATACTGTTTTTAAATTAACTTAGTATTGGTGAATTGGTTCATAATTTCTAGGTGTTAATCCTTAAATTTTGAACAGTTTGAAAATAGTGTGAGAAGTTTATATAGATTTCTTTACCTGAGAAATTAAGATTTTAAAAATATCCTACCAAGGAAATACCAAAATTAAGTTATGTGAAAAGAGAGGTACATAATAAAGAGAAAGGTGAGATGGGAATAGAAAACCAAACTGCCTTGCTTCCACTTAATAATCCAGTGAAGGCAGGGAAAAAATATCAAAGCTAAACCCATTTAAATACTGATTTGTGGTAAATGTGTCACATAAGTTTCACATGTGAAAAAGATTTTACAAAATTTTAACGGTCTATTAACTTACTCTGCATACATACTCAGAACCATTTCACACTCAGCAACCTAAGTTTTTGTTAAGCTCAACTTTGCACTTTAGTTTTAAGCTTCCCATGGTGGAAATTATTATTCTTGTATTTAGCCCAGTCATAAATGACATTTAAAAATTGCAATCTTGGTTTCTCTTTCAAAAAGAGCTCAAAAATCTATTTCTCCAGAGGTGTGAGAGCTGTCTTGAACTTTTCAACATGTGTTTTCTCTCTTTAGCAGAAAAGATGGGAGGGGGTTTTCAGTCATTGTTTAGGTATTATGCGTATAAAGAAGTCTTGATTTTGTAGTAGTTCAAAAATAAAAACAAATTTCTTGGAATTTCATAATATTTTGAACAACTTACTCCTAAGTTTTGCACTTTAAATAAATGTTTAAGTTAATATTTATTGAGTGCCTGTTATATGTTAGGCTCTTCATGTATAATAATAAATCTGTTACAGTTTTCCCTTTTATGTGCTCCTCATACTTGTACATTTGTTTGTGTTAAATATCAGGTTAGAAAACAGTATACCTCTTTTCTAGATAGTTGATCCATTGGGGAAGGAGATACCAATCCTTGACTTTAATTACATAGGTTTTGAAAGTTGGGATGGATTATCTGTATTGATATGTAATCAGTAGGTAGGAATTTACCTGAAAACAGTTTTCTAGATGAAATGGAAATACCCAGTTTTAAATTTAAGGCTACATAAGGCATGTCATTGAAGGAATTCTGTTCTTTCTAAGTTTTGGCTACAATAGAAGATATCAAAAGGAACCCTGCTATCAAAACTATTGGTAGCATAAGAGCTCATTTTAAGAAAAGGTGGAATAAAGAAAAAGAAACAACACTGAAAACAAAATAATTATGGTGACATAGTGGTTTATTTTGTTGTTTGTTTATAAAAGCAGTTGAGTTTTTTCTCATTATAAAAGTAAGACTTTTTTTGGTTTCTGATCAGAACAAACCAATTGTAAAAAAACTTTTTTAATAGTTGAAAATGAAACGTGTACTGGGTATTGGATGATATTAAAAAATTGTTAGGTAAAATATTTTATTGCCCTTATATAAGAAAATGCCCTTGTATTTAGAGATACATTAAGGGAATATTTAGTGGTCACATGATATCAGGGATTTACTTTAAAATGTTACTGCAAAAAGAAGGAAGGAAGAAAAAGAAGCAAATGTAACAAAATATTAGGAGGTTGAATCGGGGAATAGATAAAAAGGGTTATGGCTATTCTCTCTACTTTGGAGCATGTTTGAAACTTTAATAAGTTTTTATAAGGTAATACATGCTTAGTACAGAAAAGTTAGGCAGTACAAAATGGTATAAAGAGGAAGTGAAAATCACCTGTAATCCCACCACTCAACAATAACTACTATTAATATTTTTATGTTTATCCCTGAC